CCTCCCTCCCTCCCTCCCTCCCTCCCTCCCTCCGTTATACCCACATCTCAAGTTGAGTTGAAACTCATGCGGCGCGGAGACGCGTAACGTTGGCTGGCAAAACTTTGCAAGTCCGGTCGGCCCGTGCAGGCGCTGTGGCAGAGAAAGAGGGAGGGAGAGAGACAGAGGACGACCGAGACGCACACTCGTCCATCGCAGCACCCCGCTGCTCGTCATGGAGGTTCTACTGTACCGGGTGCCCGGTGCCCAGTCCACGTTGGCCGACTGCATGGCTGGCCATGGCCCAGACAGTGGGAGACGAACGAAGCGATGCGACGATGCTCGCGGGTCGCGCTCACTCGTAAAACGGATACGGCCCGACTGTATGGGGAGGGGAAGGGTCGGTCCCCGGGAGAGGTGGAACGGGTAAGAATAGGGAAAGGACTGCACATTCAGCAGAATATTACGTCACGTCAAGAAAAGTAAAAAATGCTGCTGATTTTGCGACGCCTGACACGCGCCTCCTCTTCTCATGCAGTCGGCAAAAGTAATCGACGGTTTTGTTCCTTTTTTTTCCCGGTTGTTTTCCGTCTTCCGTATTTTTTTCCCCGCGTTATGCCACTGCCACAAAGAATAATAACTGTGGTGAAAGCGACCGTCGCCCCCTTTTCTCGCCTCGTGAACCGCGCCGTTGGCCGGGCGGCGGCGGCGGCTTCTCGCCGGATGACTGCCGGGCCGCGTGAAAAGTGGCCGTCGCAGAGCAAAAGGGAGGGGTGGGGGTTGGGGGCGAGGAGCGCAAAGAATTTCTCTCCCGGAAATCTCTGAGACCCATTTTCAACTGTCATACTAATCTGTTGGCGCGCGTCGGACGGGGTGGCGCGCCCGGCTCCTCCCGCTGCTGGCCAAGCAGGTCGCAGCAGTGCTGCTGCGGGGGGCGGCGGGGGCGGCCGAGGGGCGGCCGGGGGCGGCGGGGGCGGTCGCAGGAAAGAGATAGCCTTCTGCCCGCCGCCGCCGTCGGCCGTCGCTGGCAATTCCAGCAGACCACGCTGAAGCGGCGCGGGCGGAAAGCGGGGGTGGCGTTGAGAAAAGAAAAGAGATGCCGCGCGCCGCCGAGGCCGCGCAGTCGCGCCGTCGCGCTGTGAGCCCCGCGAGCAGTGTGTCCGCGGGGTGGGCGGGTCGGTAGGTCGGTCTTGGAGGCTCTCGCGATAGGCTCCGCGCGCGGGATGAAGGGGGGAGACCTCGACCTGCCGTAACAGAAAGAAATTAGCACTCGCCTCCTCCCCCCCTCTCGCCACCCTCGCTCTGCATCCCCC